ACCAGCGTAGAAAGCTGTTTTCTCCTGGTCGTCCAACAGTAACTGAACCTGGTGATAACCTGAGTTGGCATCAAGGAAACTCATCTGTTCATGCCCGGCTGCCCTCTCTACTAGCTTCTCAACATTTGGCAAGGGATGAGGGTCTTTTGAACACGTCTCATTTAAATTGGTGAAATCAATACACATTCTCCACTTGCCATTTGGTTTTTTGACAAGCACAAGGTTGGACACCCACTCAGAGTATTCCACTCTCTTGATGAAGCTTGCCTATAGCAGCTTTTGTATCTCTCCATCTATGGCAGCTTGCTTCTCAGGGCCAAAAAGGCAACGTTTCTGCACCACCAGCCTTTTGGTGGGGTCCGTGATGAGTTTGTGGACTGTCAACTCTGCTGGGATGCCAGGCATTTCATCCGTAGTCCATGCAAACACATCTTGGTTAACCCTCAAAAACTCTAGAAGCTCTACTCATTCTTCTTTTGTGAGTTTGGTGCTGATCTTGACTGTTCTTTCCGGCACATCAGGATTCAAAGGGACTATTTCTACTGGCTCTATTGGCTCTGCTTTCTATTCGACATCCTCAGGTTGATGCTCAATGTCTGATATGCTCATTGTCTGTTGACTGGGCTGAGTCGACCTATTACCTCCAGAAGGGCCTCTCTGGGCTACAGCAGCTCAACCTTCTTAAATGTATCTTGATAATAGGCTCTGGCCATTTTCTGATTCCTCTTTAGTATTCCTACCCTTTGAGGAGTTGGGAATTTCATACAGAGATGGGGTTGTGAAATAACAACCTTCAGCTCGCCTAGGGTAGCTCTTCCTAATATAGCGTTAAAAGCTGATTCCATCTTGACAACCAGAAAGTTAACAGAAGCAATCCTAAAGCGTGGTTCTGAACCCACATATATGGGAAGGGTAATAACTCCCTCAATCGGGATGGGCTGATTGTGGAAACCATATATGGGCCCCTCATACTTTTGCAACAAGCTCGGATTCAGTTGCATCTTTTGGAAACAGCTCCAGTATAAGATATTTGGCGAGCTACTAATATCGATAAACACCTTGTTAACGTTATGATTGCTTATATGAACCGTTGCCACGAAAGGATTTGCATGGGGCATTGTAACGTCTAGCTCTCCTTCTGCTCGCTTGTAATTTGCCGGGCTGAATGTAATGGGCACATTCTCCCATTCTGCCTCCTTGAATGGCCGCTTCAAAGGTCTGTTCTTGTTGATAGTCATCACTTGTCGGGCATATGCTTTACGGCCTCGAGCGTTTTGGCCTCCAGAGTGTATACCACCCGAGATCATGTTTATTTTGCCAGAGGTCGGGGGTATCCCAACATAGCCTACCCCTTTCCTGTCTTTTTGGTTCTGGGTGGTAGTTCTCTGTCCTTGGCCTCGCTTATTGAATTGGCG